AGCTTCTTTATAGTCATATTGTCCAAAAAAATGATATATTCAAATTATCAAATAGTGCAATTTCTTCCATAATAGATTTGTTCTATAACACAGGATGATCAAAAAGTCACTGTACATCTCTTTTATCATTTGTTATATAGTTAGATAATGACTTTTTGACCACCCTATATAAAGTTAATCTAATAAAATGCTCTTTATTTTACTTTGTTACTTTTTTTATTAAAATTATTCATATTCAAATTCCTTGTGCTATTAAACAATGTCTGATTTTTTACTTTCTTAATTCCATAATTTGATATCATGTTAATATAAATGTGATACATCATCAATTTATTAAATGAAAAATTTTAACTGCTTAAAAAAAAGTTATAATGTATATTCAGTTTTTCTCTTACAAAATAATATCTGTACTGAAATACGATAATTTAAATTTTCTTGAACATTCTGCACAGATTGATTCAAATAAAATTAAAACTGAAAAATTTAAAGAAAATTGTTTTCAACCGAAAATGAAAAAAATATCCTGACATCACTGTTAAATTTAAAACAATTTCTCGTTTTATATCGTGTAACAAACAATATTTTATCGTAATTTTGATTAACACTTCTAATTATTTTTTAATCAAACTAGAAACATTAATCAAAATTTATTTCAAGAACATTTATTAAAAAATTATTTAATTGTATGTATACAAATGTATATTTTATTGCAATTTTCTTTTCATTCATCTACAGGAGTGTAGATCTTTCCTGATATTTTTAAGATAGGATTTTGTTTGTTTTATATATATATTTATGTATGTACGGTATGTACAATTTTTTTTTTCGTTAAACTCTTTTTGTCTTTTGATCATTTAGATATTTTAGTAAATAAACAGATCAGAAAACATAAGTTTGCAAATCACATTTTATAATTAAAACTGTTTAAAAACTAATATTGAAGAGTATTTTAATACAATGAATTAGTTTCATTAATAAAAGTGTACACATTCGTGACAGACCTTTCGTTGTTGGCAATTACCTGAATTGGAACTTTTTACCTTCCCTGTTGAATCAAACATTTAAAAAACTGGATTATTTTTGGACTAAAATTAAATTAATTAATTAACTTAATTAATAATTAAATAGTTAAATCGTATAAAATAAGTCTTTAAGTCTAAAGATAGACAGTTAAATCATTATCTCATGCTAAGATCAATCATTTTGAATTTTAATTAAATAATTTAAATTATAGAAAAGATTGAGCCAAAGGAAGACTCAAATTTATAAAGCTGTGATTATTTTTAGACTGGAATTAAGCTAATTTATAAATGTTAATAACTGATTTAAAATAATCTGTTTATAGACACATTTGGCTATTAAAATCAGGCTATGGCTTATTGTATTAAAACCATTATAGGGCTTATTGATCTGTTTAAAATCAAAAATGCCAAACTTCATATATTAAATAGTGTTTTAAAATTATTCTGCATTTTATAATAGCTTAAATTTTCCTTTTTAATATGAGTCATAATGATACATTATTTATATACTCAATTAAAGATAGAATAAAGAAAATATAGTAAAGGATTTTGTACAGATATTTAAGCTGATTGAGGCTTCAGTTTAATAGTTTACATAATTATATTAATGGAAAGAAGAATCAGGAAATCTAATTTTATGATGGATTCAGATCTTAGAAATAATGTGCACAAAATCACAGCATAAAATGATTTTTAGGTCATTGTTTTCATAAGGAATTCTAGCATAATTAATGATTATGTTGAAAATAATTTTCAGATATGCATTTTAGAACAGTATAATTTAAAAAAAACAGCATATATTTATTAAATTAATTAATTTAGTAATCCTGACAATATTACATAACAAAATCAGATTTTATTTCCTGATCTGGATATGATTATTATTAATCTCAAGTTATCATTTTTCTTTTACACTTATTTCTTTATAATGAATATTTTGGAGAAATCAATGACTGGAATAATCTGTAACTTTCAGATGATGGCATTTCGTTTCGTGTATAAATATCTTCAAGCATGGAATATGGGTTTTAAAGTCTTATGAAATAAGTCTTAAATTTCTTTACTTATTAAAATTAGATAGTTGTATAAAGTTGTTGTTAATTGTTTAAAATTAAAAGATGAATTAAAAATACAAAAATCTTTTGGCCCATTACTTTTACTTAAATATTTTCGGTGTGTGTCATTATTATTCATTAACAAACTGTTTGCATATTGGATTCATGAATTCAGCTAAGATATTCTTTAATCAGTTTAATTTAATAGGCAAAATATATTTTGAAAATCAAATTTTCTAGTAAAATTACATTTAAGATTATTATTATTACTACTTATTAAGATAATATGCTGAAAACATTTTGAAAAATAAATGCATTTGATTTTCACGTAAATAGTTAATTTTATTTATATTATTTTCCTATTTAATTAATTTGCAATACAGTTCTATAACATGTAATAGGTTTTTCAATACATTGCGGAAATACCGCAACTCACTGAAGCATTCAAATGTCTTAAATTTAAATAATTATAAGATGATAGAGTATAAATGGTAGACTTTTCAGAAAACGATGAATATATTCTGAAATTTCCACCAGTTTCCGGATAATTTAATGATTATGCAATATACATATACCTATGAATATACTTAAAAATATTATGTATTTAGTGTTTTGCAAACATCCATTTATTTTTACAATTCTCTTTATTTATGAAACACAACATTTGATAAAAATTATTCTTAAATAGAAAATTAATAAAATCAGATACAAAATATAAAGAATATAGACATTTTCTCTTTGTTAAATAATTAAATTTCTGTTTTCTCTCTTTCTTTATATTTACTAAGTCAATATTTTCGTTTTAAATTGATCTTTTATTATTTAATTACTATTAATAGTAAAATAAAATAAAATATAAAAAATTGTTAATATGTAAATTCGTTTTTTATCAGTTTTTCAAATATTTTATTATTATTATTTTTTTAATTATGCTTATGAATTCAACTACCATTATGAATTTTGGAATTACTGGTTTAGTTCCTGTATGAATGAATCAAAATAGTAATTTCGAAGATTCTAAACCAATAATTATGTAATGTCAATTTAATAATGTAGTTTTATTCATCTTTAAAAAAAAAAAAAAAAGGGAAAAACAGTTAAGCGAAAAATAATTTTCATTGAGCCATGCACCAATTTTTCCAACAAATTTCATGCAATTTAGTCAATGAAATGAATGAAACCAATCACAGTATCATTCTCAAACTAAATCAACTAAATAATTTTAATTTTTTATTTAGTTTTAAAATGTCTTTGGACAAGAATAACATTGCCACTATATGGCAGTTCATCTGTAAGGGACAAAAGAAATATTGGTTGCATCCACACAACAGAAACAATATTGATCATAACTATTTTTCTGCTGTCATGGAATTGTAATAGGATCATAGAAACTTTCAAGCATTTTATAAAATGAGAAATAAGAAAAATTCTCATCTAGTTTAACAAGTTCACTTGGCAATAAGAAATAACTGAATCTAATGTGAAGTGCCCAAGTGGAAGAGAGATTATTTACAGATGCAGGTAAGTAGAAAAGTTTTTATTTATTAATACATCTAAAACTTAATTCACCTTTTTCTTTGTAATTAAATATATTGTATGTAAATAATATGTTATAATTGTGACAATAAATTGACAACCAATGTTGAAGTAATGACTATCAAACTATTGTGTTGTTGAGTTATGTGAATATTCATTGGATTTGATTCAATATTTAGATAAAATTTTATATAATTTGGAAAAGTAATAACATTGAAAATTTTATTGAAGCTTAGTCATTCTAACTGAAGCTACAAAGAGTAAGAATAAGTCCGAAAATGAAATACTATGATTACTTTCAGGAAGTGGTTCATTAACTAGCTGGCCACGTCAAGAGAAAAATTGCAAAAACTAAAATCTTAGCTTACATCTTCACTTAGTTTTTTTTCTCACAAGGTTATAATTACTTTAAATTAAACAAAACTTAAAACAAAAATGAAACAGTAAAAGAGAATCTTTGATACTTATGGGTTATACTTCATCAAGTCATGTCTCACTTTCCATTCTTACATCATTATGCTCTGAAACATCGCTTACAAAACAACGTAGACGAATTTTTATGGTTGACCAAATGAATTAACTCGATTTCACACAAATCAAAGTTTTAATTAAGGTTAATTTGTTTTAATAACATTTAAGAATATATTTTCGTGAATACATTCAGGATAACTGTTTTTTAAGATCTCAAACATACCATTCAATGTTTAATATTATGTATTAATATGTAAATTTTTCTTTGGCTGAGAATTTGTGTTTATGGAACATGTTGTTGAGAATGGATAAGTCATTCAAGTTTTGTCAGCATCTGAAGTTGATGTTTGTATTCTGCAGGAATGTGGTATATTATATTATATTTTGAAAGCTTTTGCAAGAAAGCCATTATAATGAAGTTATATTTAGAGTTAAAAAAAATTGAAAATACGAGCATAACAAAACAAATGTATGTGTCGTGTTGGTGTATGCACAAATAGATGGAAATGTCACAAAAGTACAGAATATACAGTGCATACTGTATATTCAATGTGGAACATCAAGAAAACGNTAATAATAATAATAATAATAATATAGCTTTACTGAAGTAAAACTTAGTTAATACATTTAGAGAAATATTAATGATGATTCAAATCATTTTTAAAAATAACAAATAATTGGTTGCTGATTCAGTTTATCAGTTATTATAGCAAATGATTTGAATCATTACTTATAAGATTTCATCTGAAAATTGCATTCATATTTTTTTATTCTTAACATATATTTTATATATTTGAAAATTTTCTATATTGTTCTATATTGCATAATTTTTAAGCATTATAAAAACTTATTATAACTTTATTTATATTACTTTACAATTTATGAATAGTTTCTAATAAATTTTTAAACATTATAGGTAAATAACGCAACAGCTAGAGTACAAACCAAGAAAACACCTACAATTCCAAACGGTAAGTACTTGCATGGAATATTTACATTGAATGTTCTTACTTTCATTCTAATTACTAGTTTAAACGTAATCCGATTTTGTGTTAAAGTGTTTGCACTGATTTCATATTTTTTATTATCCATAAATGTTATTAAACAATAGAAAATTAGATTTAATTTTTTTGATGGCACTGCAGTTTGTGCACTTTTTATACATTTTTAGTAGTCCATTTTATGTGAATTACATAATGCATTGTGTTTGCTTACATTTGTGAATATTTGCTAATGTAGAGAGCATTAAATTTTTTTAGCTTTCCAATAAATAATAATATATAATTTATTATATATGTATATATTATATAACCTAGCAAGTTAATTTTTTTACTTTCTCTTTGCTAAGGAATGATCATTCAATTATTTTATTAAAGTTAAAATATATGAATGTTAAGAATGTCAATTTTACTTATAGATAGAAAAATGTGCACTTTAAAATATTTTATAGAAAATTTCTTCAAGTTTATAGATACTGTATCGCAGGCACTTAACTAATGAATTGATCATAATAGAATCCTATTGAGCTAACTTCCAAGAAAAAATCCTATATATTCCAGATCAAAATTATAATTTTTATCTTGACCGATTAGGTTTGGGTGGTTTATAAATTAAATTTTTTTAGCTATACACAAATTTTATTTATAAAATGTATGACTTAATACACATGATAATTATACAAATGAGCTAATTTTGTTCAATAATAATAAATTAGTTATAAAAATTGCTTCACCATTATCAAGAAATATATTCTTGAAATATAAAAATGATAATATTAACACAAACTGCATTTGCTGCCCTTTGTATACAATTATAATAATAAATGCACTTATTACTATTAATGAATTATTTAATATATAAATTTATCAAAATATTATGAACATAACTATGTGACAATCAAAGTATTAATTTGATACTGTAATTAATTGCACCTGTCTGATGGTAGTGATCTATCCAGTTCTAACAAATGGTAAGTAATACATTAAAAAAGCAACATTATCCAATTTTCATTATAACATTAAATTAAATAATGTAATTCAGTAAATTTTTTTTTAGTACCAAATATTTTTAAGAATAAAATATAAAGTCTCTTTTTGAAATTTTATTTTTATTTAATAATTTAAAATAATTTAAACTACAAGGGATGTTGAAGTTGTTTCTAAATTTTTATGTCTAAAAGTATTCAAACATAAATCTCAATTTTCATCAAATATTTTTTCAATATAAAAAAACAAAATCTTCATTTCTGAAAAGCAAATTTTTTCTTCTGAAATATGTATAGTTAGTTTTTAATAGTTTTAAAGATAAATATAGTGAAATGTCATTATAATGAAATAGTGCTATGCAGGAATGTTACAAATAAATTAAACTATTGTTCTTCACTTCTTCTGAAATTATTATTGGCTACTAAAAACAAATAGCATTTTCTCTCATTCTTCTTAGAGAACATCTTTTGTTATGAATAAGTATATGTTAAGTGAGAAAGCAGCTGCAATCTCTAAAGATATTGATAAATAAAGTTGGAGAATATTATTATAAATAGAAATCATAAGATTAATGAAATTCAGAATACAACCACAACTTTTCTACAGTTTCAGAAAAGAAATAAATTAGGTTTAAAACCACACTTAGAAATGTTTTCAGCCATTTTCATTCAGCCTTCCTCAAGCATTAGCAAAATTGAACAATTTTGTTTTTTGCTAATGCCTGAGGAAGACTGAATGAAAATGGCAAAAAACATTTTTAAGTATGGTTTTAAACCTATTTCGCTGAAACTGTAGAAAAGGTATGGTTGTATTCTGAACTTCCTGTTTCAGTGCAACTGAAACAGGAAGTTCAGAGTACAACCATATGGCTTTTGCCTTTAATTTTTATTAAAAAATAATATAGCCAAATATAAAATAATTTCATTACAATAGTAATCATCAAATCTAAAATATTTTTCTACTAAAAGAACATATAAACACAGTAGAAACTTGATTTTCTGAAACACAGTTTGCAAGTAAATAAAAAGCAGAATGTATAGCAATGTACTGTATATCCCATAGAGTATAATGCACAAAGGCCAAACTCTCCAATCGTAGCACTGTGAAACTATACCATGTAGACATAACATTACATCAGATTTTCAGTAAATTAATTTACCTTCAAATACAATAATTGTACATTTAAAGTTTCATGAACTATAAATATTGTAATGCAGTCATTAATGTACCAAAAACACAAAAACAAACAAGTTTCTGCATTATCTGAAATATCATTCATCCATAAGCCCTAGTCCCTGGTCACATCAAGTTCAAATAATTTTCCACTGTATATATAGAAATGACAGGACTTAGCAGAATTATCTTTATAATGAATATTTTGTTTAGTAATATTCATTAAAATGACATTTCGATATATATATAAATTTGAAATACAGTAGAGCGTCGTTTATCCGAAACATCTGTTATCCGAAAGAATTCCAGTCAACAAATTTAAATTTTTGCCAGTGCTGTGGCGCTGCAATCTTTGGCTATGTCTTTCGGCTACTCAAATACGTTTTTGATACTAAATTAACTTCTGAAGTATAATTTTTTATTGTTTTTATATTTTTCAATATATTTATTTTGTTTGTACAAAATAAAAAAATAATTTTTAACGATACAATTGTCTTCGTTAGGCTTAACATTGACGAAAATTCAACGCAAAGCGACACGCAACGGAGAAAAATTTCAGCACGGGATAAATTCATATATTTTTTCGTACATGATTGCTTATCCGAAAAATAAGTTATCCAAGCAATCCCAGTCCCCAATTGATTCGGATAGACGACTCTCTACTGTATAAAGATTATTACATAAAACTATTTTTTCTGTAAATCATCATCAGAAATAAAAAAACAAACTGGAGAAAATAATTTGGATACATAATTTGTTTTGATTGAAGACCACATTGGATAAATATTTTAGTACAGGAAAATACTTTTATGTAGTACAAACAGTAAATAAAATTTGTTATTTAACTTAATATATAAAAATAAATGCAATAAAAATGAAACAACTATATTATGCAAAATACAAACTACTGTAATTTTGTGCTGATAATGCATGGTACCCCACAGAAAAAACTGAAAGAACGAAAATAAAATTCTTGCATAACCTGCCCCATTATATATCCCATGCCTCCAGGACAGCCATCAAAAGCAAGATAATTACTGGTATGCAGTTTAGAAGTTGCCATTTCAAGCCCAAATATTCTATAATAATAATGTTAATTTCTGGAGTATTCAGAGTATAGTTTGGCTAGCTATTAATAATTAATATAAATTTTTCTGAAAATAAGCAGTTATCGAACATTAAACTAATAATTACAACAATTTTTTAATTAAATTTAATAATTATTAATTAAAACAAAATAAAATAATTATTATTTTGTGTTAAATTTAATAAACAAAATTATAATTTAAAATGACATTGCCTTTTTGCTTTATTTTTTAAACCCTGTAATGTTTAGAGAGCCATTTTACATTAATAAACTAAAATTTGCATAAAATTTAATATATTAAATAACTTTCAATCCAAATGTACATTTAGCAAGAAATTCATGTCTGTATTCACTAGTCATCTCCATAATTCCATTCCAGGTGTTTATGAACTGTCCAAATTATGTAAATTAAGTGTAAAAATAAAAAATATGATTCATCATTTTTTTTTATGACTGTTCAGTAATAATAATAAAATAAAGGAAATCAAACTAAAAAAAATCATAATTTCTGTATAGTTCTTTCATTCATTTTTTTTAACTTATTTTTGAATTAAAACAACTTTTCAATTCTATTAACTTGTGTGATTAATATAATATTGATATTATGTAATTAGTGCCAGTTGAAGCTTTTTTTAACTAAGTAATTATTGTATAAAAATTTAATTCTTTTATATTAATTTTCCTATTTATTTTATATCTCCAATTGTACCATGTGTCATGGCACAGTATAGCCTGTATAGCTTTTGTGCCAATAAAAATTAACCAACCAACCAACCTTTTATATTAAACTGAAGATTATGTTAGACTTGTATTTTGCAAATATTTATTAAAATACTAAATGTAAATCCATCGAAATGGGTAAGGGTTGTAAAAACAGTGAGGAGTATACTACAGTTACACAGTTGTGTCATTTCTTATGAACATATTAATAGATACTGTAATTGTGGGTCAATTGCCCACCATCAGCCTGTCGTATAGTGTGAATCAACTTTAAATTGTGATTGGAATTTAAAATTGGAATATAATCCACTTCATTGCATAACTCGGTGTGAGTTATGTTTGAAAGATAATTTGAAAGGAGGTGTTCCTTTCAAATTATCTTTCAAACACAATAACCCATGCATAAAATTACAGAAGTTAAACAATTAAAACATAGTCTTGACTTCTTTGGATTGTGCAGTCTTGATCTGATCAAAATTACATCAAAAATTTAAAAATTTTGTACTTATTATCTGATTGTATCAAAGCTATTGTGCCAACTGTTTTATTTGCCAATTGCTACAAGTTATTCAGATAAGTTTAACTGTATATGCTTACATATAAGTCAGTGTCAAAATTTTTAGCTCAAAAGTTGACCTATACCCACTGTAAAAGTTGACCCAAAGCATATGATAGACTATAGCAAAATTGTATAATGCTGCATTGCATCATTATACAACTTTCAGTAAGACATGTAAGTGGAAAAAACATTACTGAAAATTGATCATTAAATTTAAAAAATTTGTTTGTTTAATTAAAGATAAAATGAGAAGATAACATCTGCCTCACTAGAACAATGTCCTGCCCCATTCTAAAAGGACTGTGTCCTTTTAGAATGAAAATTGTAATACAGGTAACCCCCGTATAACACGGGAGTTACGTTCCAAAAAATTGCCGTGTTATGCAAATCCGTGTTGTACGAAACAAAGAACTAGTGCGAAAAGGGAGGTTAGGTTCCAAAAATTAAAAAAGCATGTTGTTAAATCCTTATTTTAATTGGATCTATTATTCATTTTTTCATGGGTAAAATACTTATTTATTATTTAAGTAAATATTTTACCAGAGGATTATTCATTTTATATGATGATCTCAGCATGAGCATCATCAACTGGTAACAGTTTTTGGGTGCGTTCATTAATAGTGGTCGCTCTGCAATGAGAGTGCGCTGCTCTTTGTAGGCATTTAAGAATGACGGTAAAAGAAAGATGGCGGCAGCCGCATTATCGATAGTATCATAATGGAGGAATCTATAATTCTAAAATGAGCTTTTAGAGGCAAAAGAAAGGTCCCAATTGTATAATTTAACCATTAAATGGATTATTTGTTGAAAGAGCATTCAAAGTAGCCACGAAAACAATTAGAATGCTCGCACAGAGTTACGCAGATGTATAAAAGAACACACCCTTTATTACATTTTATGCTGTACGAGGGTTTTACCCAATTCCCGAACCGTGTTAGAGTGAACCCATGCTATACAGGGGATGTTCCCAATTCTCGAACCGTGTTAGAGTGAATCCGTGCTATAGAAGTGCCGTGTTATACGGGGGATGGTACCAATTCTCGAACCGTGTTAGAGTGAATCCGTGCTATAGAAGTGCCGTGTTATACGGGGGTTACCTGTACAATTACTGGGTGTAATGTTCATTTATACTGAATTTTTATTGTTATATTAATCTCTATATTAAATAAGTTAACCAAACAAGTAAACTCAATTCAGTAGTAAAGATTCACATTTTATACCTGCCTAATTTTGGGAGATGTTTTTCAGACTTAGGAAGTTAATTTAAATGTCAGCATATGTAGTAATAGTTTGTTTTTAAAGTTTTATTTCATAAAGTAAATAAAAATAAACAAACTGCTCTATATTGATTGTTATTTTATGTTAACTATGTATAATTAATATAATTGTGTTTTAAGATTTTATAACTATTTTACCTATCTATGTGATAAACATTTAAATCATTTTTTAACTGGAGGATTCATGTCAAATTTGTTTCTAAATGTCTTCTTCAGTTTTGTGTATTCTTAAAATGAAAAATTTT